ACCCGTTTTTCAAACTTCACTGCAATCCCTGCACAGCAACAGCATCTTCACCACTCAAGCCATCATTTGTTTCCCCAAATCTGGCAAGTTTTCCCCCATTCTCTACCTGGAGATCCCTCCTTCCTTCTGACATTAATACAGCACAATCCTGAGTGAACAACTCCTCACAGGATGCACAAACAAGCTTGAATTTATTACTTGAGGACTCTTGAGGACTTACTTTTAAAAACTTCAGTGCTTCAATGTGCCAATATGAAGCAATTTCAAAGCAAGTGGTTCCAACTCCAACCCACTTCTAATAAAGCCAAAAGAAATAATTAAAAAATAATAATTTCCTCCAAGTAGTTTTCCTATACTTTCATATTTAAAGTAATAGTTTTGCAGCTCCTAGCACTGCTTTGGTTGTGTTCAAAATAAAACAAACCTTAAAGACCACTGTTTTTTGTCTCTGGATTTGAAGACTTGCAGCCAGGTGAGTAAAGCTTAGGAGCACAACATACAGCTGCACCTCCAGGAGGGAGAAAGATCCAGGGAAGTTTTACCTCCATCAGGAGCACTGAGGGAAAATCTCCAATACTCACACACCCTTTGTTCTCCTGAGCTGTTACTAGAGATTTCATGGGAATGGGATTTTTTTGTGACTCATCTTCATTTGCATTGGACTTAGTCAGACAACAGTGATTACGTGCTTAGGCTCAGTTCTGGCATTCAAATCCTTCAGCAGCCATCCTGGCCAGAAGAGCCTCCCTCCCTACCTGTGCCCAGGTGCCAAAGGCCGGGCCCTGAGGAGCTCCACAAAGTGTGCACAGCTCCTCTGGGTCCTCTACCCACAGCTCACTTCAAACCATCAACAACCTGACCCACTGAATGCCAATAAAGAGATGGTAAAAAATAAGATCTCAGGGATATGCTGCCTGGAAGTTACCTATCCTAACATTTTAAACACTCAAAATAAAGACAATCTGCAGGAGTGGCAGCAGGGAGAGCACTAAAATGAGGAGGAGCACCAAGGAGCACCACCAGTGCCAGAGGGGCAGCTGCACCCACTCACCGACACAGCCAGGAGCACCTCGAGGGCACAACTAGGAAATCACCACAGTTCTCAAAACCAAGCACCATAAAAATGATTCCTGCACCAGAAAATCGCTGAAGAACAGTTAAAATTTTAAACAGTTAAGCCTTCCAAGATGTATTCCTTCTGTACCTGCAAACAGCAGGGCAGGGCTGGAGGCCCAGGCCCTGCCCTCCCCAGGGAGGTTACCATGACTCTGGGATTTCTTGCAGAAATGCCATCTGGAATATTTATAGTGCCTGAGACGGGGCAATGAAATCACTCACGCTGGCACCTCAGCACATCCAGCAGCTTAACTGCTGCTTTAGCAGGAAATATCAGACAGAAGTGACTCAAAGTCAAAGTGAGAGTATGTGGAATTACAGGGACAGTAAGTTATCTCCCAGCAGCCATCATGGAGCAGGATTAGCCAGTGTGCAAAGATGAAATGTGAAGCGAATGGAAGTTACTAACGTGAAGCAGAAATGTTCTATTAGTGTGTCTTCTCCTACATATGCAAACAAGCCTTTGGTTTGAGAGAATTAAAACCTTTTCCCCATGCATCCTCCTTAGACAGAGGCCAGTTTCAATATTCCTCGAGATCCTTCTTTTCCTTACAAACTGAAGACTGAGCCCTCCAGTGCTTGAAGGGAACCTACAGAAGAGCTGCAGAGGGACTGGGGACAAGGGATGGAGGGACAGGACACAGGGGATGGCTTCCCAGTGCCACAAGGCAGGGCTGGATGGGATATTGGGAATTCAGAATTGTTCCCTGGCAGGGCGGGCAGGCCCTGGCACAGGGTGCCCACCCTGGATCCCTGGCAGTGCCCAAGGCCAGGCTGGACTTTGGGACACCCTGGGACAGTGGAAGGTGTCCCTGCCATGGCAGGGGTGGCACTGGGTGGGCTCTGAGGTCCCTTCCCACCCAAACCATTCCAGGATTCCATGAACCAGTCCCTGCCTACAGCCCCCACCAAACACTCCAGGACATTTTATGTGTGTCCCAGGCTGTTGGTTGAGCTCTGAGCAAACCCAGGGCAGGGACCAAAGCTGCTGGGGTTATTCAAACACAGGAGAGCCTCAGCCAAGGATCCAGTCACCTCCCATCACCCACTGTGTACACAGGGCTTTGCAAACCACATTTCCGTGTTGCTACAGGTCAAAGACTCCATCAGAGGCTTTCCCTGAAACTCTGCTCTTCCAGAGCTGCAGGGCTGCTGTGCTGGGACTTCCCAGAGCAGGGACCCCCATGGAACACCCCTTTCCAGGCTCCTGGGCTGCCACTGCTGCTGCAGGGTCAGCCTGGCTGAGGGTGAGAGCTGCTGTCACCAGGGGAATTTGAAATCCCATTTTCAGCCAGATTGCTGCATCACTTGGCAATAATGCAGAGAGAACTGAGTGGACCTGGGTAACTCAGGTGTTTGGATTCCTCCCTCAGGGATGGGCTGTTTTTCCCAAGGTGCTAATGGAGAGTCTCCCTTTCAAGTGACATTGTCTGCACAGGACACTGCCCTCCAAGTTTCCACATCCACTTACAGAGGATTATGGAAACAACACATTTAAGGCATCTTTGGGCAGTTAAATACCACACAGAAAATCAATTTGTACCCCAACACCTGCCAAATTCCACTGTGAAGACACAAACCTGGCATAACCAAAGGGTGTACGCAGCGACCATCACCAGACATTCAGTTCAGGATTCAGGGAATGAAACACCTCTGCCTTCCAGTTTAGGCACTCCAGAAACAAACAGCCACTGGTCTGACTGGTGGGAAATACTTCCAAAATCTGCAGTGCACACTTCCTACTCAGCTTGGTGATACTCCTCTTGAAGGCCCCAAAACTGTACAGTCAGACCAGCAACTAACACTACTTACTAAATTACTAATTATTAAAAGCACGAGTTGTTGGAGCAGGAGCCACTGTGAGCCCGCTGACTTTTTAACTATGACGTTGACTATTTTTAACTTTGAGAATTGAAATAAACCTTCCCAACGAACTCCAAAGGCAAGGAATGTCATGTGATCCCAGCAAGGATCTGCCAAGCAGTGCCAAAATACACCCCGGCCACAGCAGCAAACCCATCTGGCCTCCCTGAGCTAGGGTATGCCATGGGAAGGGACAACATTAACTGTCACACAGTGCCCCAACATTTCAGCAAAATGCCAAGTTGAGGCCCTAAGAGATTTTAGGGAGTAACCTTCTCAACACTTAGTTGTCACAAAGGTGGGGTTTTTCACTTTAAATTTCCCAAGCCTTGCTTAAGAGAGTATTTTTATATGTTATAGTCTGAGGTGCAATTTTTGGGTGATGTTTCAACACATGAGGAAGTGCACAGGGGTGAACTTACACCCAGCACTAAGATCTACACTGACACTCCATGCTCCCTCAGCTGCATGACCAGTGATTTAAGGGATTTACAGCAAACACAAAAGTCAGATCCAGTTCAAATCCCACAAAATAATTTTCTTTTTTAGCCTTATGTATCTGCATGTGTTACACCAGTGGGTGCTGCAAGAAAGCTGAGCCAGGAATTATCCTTAATTTCCAGAGGCGGTCACCAAGAAGGTGAGAAGCTGCTGACCTGAACTCTTCATCTGCAAAACAAGATGTTGAGGAGAAGGCAAAGGAAGCCCTGTGATAACCCTGGGATCGAAGGATATTGGGTGCCAGGCCTGTCCCATGGCACAAATCGCACGGAAAAGGCAAAGACACATCCCTCTTTCTGATGTCACAGCAGCTCTACCTTGGCCAGGAGGTGCTGTGTGAGGAAGGGCTGGAATCAGCTTTGCCGAGGGGGGGAAGGACAGCTTTGTTGGGCGAGAAAACAGACCCCACCCAGGAGCGCGACCGTTTGTGAGGCACATCCATAGCGCTGCAAACACGGGATCCGCAGGGATTAGCGCTGATGGAAGGGGCCAGGTGGGCTCTGCCGGCTGGCACAGGGTGTGGGGGACAGGCTGCCAGCGAGGGGGGACAGCGAGGGTCGCTCAGGGTCACCCAGCGCGGACAGAGGCTCCAAAGCCAGCCTGCCCTGCAGCAGGGGCGAGGCGACACTGCCGGGGTCGGGGACAGCACCGGGACACAGGAACGGGGCTGGGGGGGTGACACAGGAAGGTCCTGGGGGGACACAGGGTGTCCCTGGAGCGGGGGGGATACAGGAGTGGGGCAAGGGGGTGACACAGATAGTCCCTAGGGGTGACACAGACACGGGGCTGGGGGTCCCTGGGGACTCCTGATGGGTGACACAGACCGTGCCTAGGGGTGACACAGACACACGGGGCTGGGGTTCCCTGGGTGGGGAGGGGGGGGGTCCACAGGGGATTCCTGATGGGTGGCACAGGGGGTCCCTAGGGGTGACACAGACCGTGACTAAGGGTGACACAGACACGGGGCTGGGGGTCCCTGGGGACTCCTGATGGGTGGCACAGACCGTCCCTAGGGGTGACACAGACACACGGGGCTGGGGGTCCCTGGGGACTCCTGATGGGTGGCAAAGGGGGTCCCTAGGGGTGACACAGGGGGTCCCTAGGAGTGACACAGACACGGAGCTGGGGGTCCCTGGATGGGGAGTGCGGTGGGGTCACAGGGGATTCCTGATGGGTGACACAGGCCGTCCTTAGGAGTGACACAGACACGGGGCTGGGTGTCCCTGGGTGGGGACGGGGTCACAGGGGATTCCTGATGGGTGACACATGGGGTCTCTAGGGGGCTGGATATAATAGAAGGGATCCCTGGGGGGTGACACAATAACGGGGCTGGGGTGAACACTGGGTGGGGGGGGTGGGGTCCCCGGGGGTGACACAGGGACGGAGCTGGGGGGTACGGCGGTGAGAACCGGGGGGTACGGCGGTGAGAACCGGGGGGTACGGCGGTGAGAACCGGGGGGTACGGCGGTGAGAACCGGGGGGTCCGCATCCCACCCACCCCCGGGCGGAAAGGCACTGACCAATGGTGGAGATGAAGGTGGTGTTGAAGGCATCGTCGGAGAAGCGGAAGAGGACGCAGGTCTTGCCGACCCCCGAGTCCCCGATGAGCAGCAGCTTGAAGAGCAGGTCGTAGGTTTTCTTCGCCATGGGGGAGGGCGCGGCGGCCGCCGCCGCCCCTCCTCGCCGCCTCCTTCACCGGGCCCGGCCGCTCCCGAGGGCGGCGGCGACGGCGGAGGACGAGGAGGAGGAAGAAGAGGACGAGAGCGAGGAGGAGGAGGAGGAGGAGGAGGAGGGGGCCCACAAAATGGCTTCCTGTGGCGGGGCGGCCTCGCGCGCTCCCCGCGCCCGCGGCTCCTCACGGGGAAGCGGCGGCGGCGCCCGCCCTCATAACCCCTCGGTGTTCCCCGGCTCCGCTCGGCTCGATTGGCCCCGGTTTTCTCTCTCTTTCCGCCCGGGCCCTTCCCGGTCCGTCCCCCCGGGGGCTCTCGGCGGCTCCTCAGAGGCGCTGCCGCGGCTGCGCGCGCCGCCTCCCCCGCCTCGCGCACCGCGCAGGCGCGGCGGAGGGCGCGGGAGCGCGCACGCCGCCGTGACGTCACCCGCACCGCCCCGGTGACGTCACCGCGCGGCTCCCGGAGTTGGTTTATTTCGTGCGGTTTTTTTGGGGGTTTTTTTATGTTTGTTTTTTTTTTTTTTGCGAAGATCGCGTGGGGTTTAACGGGACCAGGTGCTGCTGGTGCTGGTGCTGCTGCACTTGGGTCAGAACAAAGCGTTGGAGGGATCCAGGCTGCGGACAAACACAGGGAAAGTGGCTTTGGGGTGTTGGTGGGTGAGAGGCTGGACATGCCCTGGCACTGAAACCCCTCGTGTGTTGGGTTAATCCCCCAATGTGGTACCAGGAAAGGGGGGATTCTCCTCCTCTACCCCTGTGCCCAGGTGAGCCCACCTGCAGAACTGCCCCAACCCTGGGGATTCCAGCAGCACAAGGACCTGGAGCTGCTGCAGAGAGCCCAGAGGAGCCCCCAGAGCTGCTGCAGGGCTGGAGCCGGGCTGGGAGAGCTGGGGGTGCTCACCTGGAGAGGAGAAGGATCCAGGGAGAGCTCAGAGCTCCTGGCAGGGCCTGGAGGGGATCCAGGGAGAGCTCAGAGCCCCTGGCAGGGCCTGGAGGGGCTCCAGGAGAGCTGCAGAGGGACTGGGGACAAGGGATGGAGGGACAGGACACAGGGAATGGCTCCCACTGCCAGAGGGCAGGGCTGGGTGGGAGATTGGGAATTGGGAACTGGGAATTGTTCCCTGGCAGGACCCAGGGAATGGCTCCCAGTGCCCCAGGGCAGGGCAGGGTGGGATTTTGGGAGCGATCCTCGCCCACCGCCCCGCTCAGGTGCGCTCCCGCCCCGCGGGTCCGCAGAACCCCGCCTGATGACGTCACCAGCCCGCTCCGCCGGCCCCGCCCTTGCGCCGGCAAAGCCCCGCCCCCTCTGCGCTCTCCGCGCTCCCATTGGCTGCGCTCCCCTCCCAAGGGTTGGAGTGACGTCACCGCGGGCGGGGCAGGAGGCGCCCCCTGGCGGCGGCGGCGTGAGGGGGCAGAGAGCGCTGAGGGGAGAGCGGAGGGTGCGGGGGTCGTGGGGAGGTTTGGCTGGGAAAGGACAGCAAAACCCAGCTCGTTCCACCCCTGCCATGGCCCGGACACTGTGCCAGGTGAGCCCAGCCCCAGTGTCCAGCCTGGCCTTGGGCACTGCCAGGGATCCAGGGTGGGCACCCTGTGCCAGGGCCTGCCCACCCTGCCAGGGAACAATTCCCAATTCCCAATCTCCCATCCAGCCCTGCCCTGGGGCAGTGGGAGCCATTCCCTGTGTCCTGCCAGGGAACAATTCCCAGTTCCCAATCTCCCACCCAGCCCTGCCCTGGGGCACTGGGAGCCATTCCCTGGGTCCTGTCCCTCTGTCCCTTGTCCCCAGTCCCTCTGCAGCTCTCCTGGAGCCCCTCCAGGCCCTGCCAGGGGCTCTGAGCTCTCCCTGGATCCCCTCCAGGCCCTGCCAGGGGCTCTGAGCTCTCCCTGGATCCCCTCCAGGCCCTGCCAGGGGCTCTGAGCTCTCCCTGGAGCCCCTCCAGGCCCTGCCAGGGGCTCTGAGCTCTCCCTGGATCCTTCTCCTCTCCAGGTGAGCCCCCCCAGCTCTCCCAGCCCGGCTCCAGCCCTGCAGCAGCTCTGGGGGCTCCTCTGGGCTCTCTGCAGCAGCTCCAGGTCCTTGTGCTGCTGGAATCCCCAGGGCTGGGGGAGCTCTGCAGGTGGGCTCACCTGGGCATGGGGCAGCTCTGCAGGTGGCTCTTACCTGGGCACAGGGGCAGAATCCCCCTGTCCTGGTGCCACACTGGGGGACCACCCCAGGGCTGGGGATTTCCAGGTACCTGCACACACGGCCAGGACATGTCCAGCCTGTCACCCAGCAGCATTCCCAGCATGGGCTGGAAGGGATGGCTCAGGTGCTGACCCAGCACGAGGAGCCCAAGGACCTCCTGCGCCTGGTGTGTTTGCAATGGAGCCCAAGGCAACCTGGACATGGGGAATTCCTTCACAGCTCCTGCTTTTCCCACACAGGGGAACAGACTTTCTCATAGGAGCCAGGCTGTGGAACCAGCACTGAAGGCACAGGAGGAAGGAAATGCTGGAGATGCCCCATCACAGGTTCTGCACAGACCCAACGCTTCTCTCACGCTGAATCCCAAACCATCCCATGGTATGATCCAGCACACTGCCAACTGCAATTTGCTGTCATAATTAAGTAGCCATCTCTCATTAATTTCCCATTGTTTGCAGGATGAGTTAACTCATGTGAGGGCAGAGGGGCTGGAAGGTTGGAAAAGGCCCTGGGGGTCCTGTACCTGGACATGAGCCCAGGTGTGCCCAGGTGGGCAAGAGGCCCCTGTGCCAGCTCTGGGGTGGCAGCAGGGCCAGGGGGCACCTCCAGTGCTGGGGGCAGCTCTGGGCCCCTCCTGCCAGGAGAGACCTGGAGGGGCTGGAGCGTGTCCAGGGAAGGGAAGGGAGCCCCAGGAGGGGCTGGGGGAGCTGGGAAGGGGCTCAGCCTGGAGAAAAGGAGGCTCAGGGGGGACCTTGTGGCTCTGCACAGCTCCTGACAGGAGGGGACAGCCAGGGGGGGTCGGGCTCTGCTCCAGGAACAGGGACAGGACACGGGGAAATGGGCTCAGGCTGGGCCAGGGCAGGCTCAGGGTGGGCAGCAGCAGGAATTTCTGCCTGGAAAGGGGCTCAGGCCTTGGCACTGCCCAGGGAGGGTTGGAGTGCCCATCCCTGGACATATCCAGGGAAAACCTGGATGTGGGGATGTGGCACACAGCACACACACAGCACACACACAGCACACACACAGCACACACACAGCACACACACACAGCACACAGCACACACACAGCACACACACAGCACACACACAGCACACAGCAAACAGCACACAGGGTTATTTTTAGCTCTTTGCTGGAGCAGTGTAAGGGCACCACACAAACACTTCCCCTGTGACTGAGCAGAGAGAAGGGGGAAGCTCCGTGGCACAGGCACTGACCCCGGCTGGGGCCGTGCTCCAGGGGGCTCCAGGCACTCCTGGGAGGTTTGTCAGCTCTGGATGTTCACAGCCCTATTTACAAGAACCTAGGTGTCCTAGACACCTCGCTCGTGGACTTCAATGCTTCAAGGAAGGTGATCTGTGGGATCCTGGAGAGGAAGTGCTGCCACACAGAAATCTCAGAATCTCTGAGGTTGGAAAAGCTCTCCCAGACCTTCCAGTCCAAGCTGTGACTGATCCTCTCCTTGTCACCAGCCCAGAGCACTGAGTGCCACATCCAGGCTTTCCTTGGACACCTCCAGGGATGGGCACTCCACACCTCCCTGGGCAGCCCCTGCCAAGGCCTGAGTGCCCTTTCCAGGAAGAGTTTTCTCCTGAGAATCTCACATATCCCTCTGCAAGCAAGAGAAAATATTTTCTGTCTGTTGTGTAAGGCTGGCCCTTGTGTCAAATTGTTAAATGTTATCCCATGAGGGAAACAATTCCTCAGGAGATGCCTGACCTAGGACAAAGATGCCTTTGGTCTTGGTGGCTCAGTCAGGAGACCATTGCTGCAGGACTGGGAGATTTGGAGATGTCCAGGCAAAGGTGGAACAGCTCCCACAGCTCTCCCCACCACATCCTTCATCCCAATCCCCAGAGAACACTGATCTGTGACGAGGAGAAATTACCAAATTAGGACTAATGGGGTGTAAAGGGAGAGCCAGCAGGACCTGGCAGCCTCTTCCTGGGCTGTGCAGGGACAGCTGAGCTGCAGGAATTGCAACACCACTGCTGGAGAGCTGTGAATCACCAGCCAGTTGTGCAACAGGAGCAGAGCAGTCACACAGACTGGCCTTGCTGGTTGCTCACTCACAGCCTCACAGAGCAGGGCCTTTGTCATCCCAGAGCCACTGGGAACAAGCTGCTCTGTGTTCTCCAGCTCCTCCCCCAGCCAAGGCAGGGCTGGGGGCTCTGCTCTTGGCCATGGGCACAGGCCAGGACATCCAGGAGGTTCTGGGACCACCATTCCTTGAAGGATGAGCTCCCACGGGGCACAGACCCTCTCAGCCCCTGAGCACCTCCAGCTCCCCCTGCTTCAGGAGTGTCTGGAACCCAAACTTGTGTAAGGACAAGAGCCCCAAAGGAGCTGTTAAACAGCCCCAGAAGCTCAGGGCACAGTCTGAGGAGGAACAGAAAAGGTTGAATTTGCTCCACCTGCTGCCATACAACGTTGTCCTCTTAGCAGGGGTGTCCAAAGCATGTTCTATGCTCCAAGCACCCCAGACACCCCAGACACCTGAGCAGGAGCTTTAAACTCCAGGCACCCCTCTATTTTGGTTTGTTTTTTTTTTTTTTTTTCCAGATGTCATAATCAGAGCAGGATAACTCAAATAAATACACAGAATCACAGAATCCTTCAGGCTGGAAAAGGATCATTGAGGCCAACCTGTGCCCAATCCCTATCTTGTCCCCAGCCCAGCGCTCTGAGTGCCACATCCAGGAATTCCCTGGACATCTCCACCCCCTGGGCAGTGCCAAGGCCTGAGCGCCCTTTCCAGGCAGAAATTCCTGCTGCTGCCCACCCTGAGCCTGCCCTGGCCCAGCCTGAGCCCATTTCCCCGTGTCCTGTCCCTGTTCCCTGGAGCAGAGCCCGACCCCCCCTGGCTGTCCCCTCCTGTCAGGAGCTGTGCAGAGCCACAAGGTCCCCCCTGAGCCTCCTTTTCTCCAGGCTGAGCCCCTTCCCAGCTCAGGTGAATTTTCTGAGATGCCCCAAGGAAACCCAGGTTTAAGAAAATAACCTTTGTGAGAATGTTGAATTCTTCAGCAGAGGACAGGCCGGTGTTTGGAGCAGCTCCTAGCACTGCTGCCAACAGGGTCAGGCTCTCATCACCCTGCATGTCGCCTCCTTCTCCCTCCCCTCTCCCAGGCAGGTGGACAGAGTGCACGTGAGGGGGGCAAGAAAGGCAGCTCCATGTTCCTGAAACA